GAGATCCAAAGGAGGGGATACTTTTCGCAAGTAGTGTCTATATACTTCAGTGAAAAGTTTTTATAGAATAACGTTAAATCTAATGTTGTATAAGCAATCACTTATTTGTATGATATGTATTTCGAGAAAAAGAAACTTATATAGACTTTTCAACACACGACAGTGCAGTTTTGATAATAACCAGATAAAAATATTGTTTGGTTTTTTAATGTAAAAATCAAGTTTAATAGTATATCTGGTTTCCATCTTTACTATACGCACAAGTGAGAACCACAGAAAAGGATATGATTACGTATGCTTAACTTATTCATGCTCTCATCATACATTTCGAAGTAGCAGTAGAACATTATTAGTTTATTGTTCTATATAAATAGGGCTTTTGTACATAGAAGATACGAATGAACAATGTTTCTCCTTATATTTTCTATGGAATAACATCGTACAATGATTTTTCTATGATGCAAAAGTTTGAACTATAGTCAACATTTTAGATGTTTTTTTTTTAAATATTACTGACATTATCAAGCATATTTTTTTTCCATATTTATTAATGAGTATTCAATAAAAATAGTGATGCATGAGATATAAGATTTAACTTCTAATATGAAAGGTAAACTAGATGGCATATCAAGTGAAGTATTTCAATTGTCTTGATTGATCTGTTCAAGTAGGGTGTGGGTATGGGTGTGCGTGTGATTCTAAATAAATAGATCGCTAACATACACATTCCACACTCACACCCATCCAAAGCCACACCCACTCCCACACTTCACAGGCCTATAGCCATACACTCACAATCTCCACTTGATATGCCTGTAGCATTTTCGAATTTCCCAATTATTCTGTTAGCTCTATGCGCCAGAATACAAGGGAATTCTATTCTTTTAAAGAATAGAAGATGATGTTGTGTATTTGCTTCGAATATTTATACGTTTTCGATCTTCTAACACTAATATCCTAGTGTCACTTGTGAGAGTCTAGCATTTTGAAAATACTCAGTATACTGGTAGCTCCATACATCCACACCCAACCCTTTTACTATTTGACAGTATTTGTATTTATTTTATGCTACTCCAATCTTCTCACATGAATTCACAAACTTTTATTCTGCCTAAAATACGGCTTTCCGCTATGATTTTGGCGAACGCACACTCCTTGCTAAAACGAATAGTAAAATATTACTTATTTTCGCGGAATTCATCGATGAAGTATTGCATCTAATTATGTAGCCAAACGATTTCCGATTGGATCATAAGCACTATTTTAACTATTCTGCATGTATGCTAATAATCACGCTTTTGTTCGCTTTTTTTCGTTATGAAAAACGAATTGAAATTGGGATGGAATCTCACTCTATAGTCTGATACTTGATATTAATATTCATACAAAACATATAGCACAGAGCTGATCGTAATTTTCACTTTCATCATCTAAGATAGCTACGAGAAAGCTGTAGTATTATCAACACTAGGGATGCAACGGTGACAATAACCGTACCTACGGTTACCGGTTCAAACCGTTGTCAAGAAAAAAAGCATTTTTTAAAGAAAATAACGATATTTTATAAAGGTTGACGAAAGTAAATCGGGGTCGGAGAATCCGAATCTGACGTCAGTTTTTGAAAATATCAGTTTTAGTCTTCACATATAATGTTTATCAGGAATAAGTGTTTCGAGAAAAAAACACGATTTTCAAGAAGCGGCTTAGTCTTGGAATGTGAAAGTTGAACCGTGCAGGGATCAGATTTCAGATTTGAATTCTCCGACCCCGATTTACTTTCGTCAACCTTTATAAAATATCGTTATTTGCTTATAAAACTGCTTTTTTTCTTGACAACGGTTTGAACCGGTAACCGTAGGTACGGCTACCGTAGTAGGTACGGTTACCGGCTCGGACCGGTGAAACGGTGATAGTTAACCGGTGATTAATCGTCACCGTTACATCCCTAATCAACACAACTACAACGGTAAGGCTTTCAATCAGGAAACAGTGAATATCTTTCACAAGATCGAATTGATCATTACCTGTTTTCTTCAATTCATTGTAGCAAATTATGCGCTATAAATTTTGATTACCAGACTCGATTATGTTGTGCTCATTTTATCAGAGCTTAGCTATGTAAAAGACACAACATTTTCTATGTAGTATCTAAATTTCATTTTCTTCCTTATCACGTAGAATATCTTCGGCCAAAATTCGAGTAATTCCCGAAGGGATTCGCGAAAATATCAGACTGAGCGCTGAAATCAGCGAGGATGTGAGTGTGGGTGGGTGTGGATGCGGGTGCGGGTGTGGGTTTGGTTGTTAGTGCGAACTCTCCCATGATTCACAACCAAACCCACACCCTATAAACTTAATTCATCTATAATATATTTCATCAAATTTTCAAATACTTTTCATGAGTTTTTATTATACCGAACTACAGACGATTGATTTTCTACAGAAAAGAAAAGTACCAAGAAAGAATGAGACAAATATCATTATCGCGTTTTCAATGTAATAAATTTGGTGGAAATTTTTATCATGAATTAAAAAATTCATTGTTTTGGGAGAAAATAAATAGTCCAAGACTGAAGAATATTACATAGAAACAGAAAAATATACTTCGCGTTATATTTATACTTACATCAAAACAAACAAATAAAACATAAATACGCAATTATAGTAATTCATTTGTGCCGCAGCAGAGCGGCAGGAGAACGGTAAAGCGGTAGAATGACAGAGCCGTCGGCTGAAGAGTGAAAATGTTGAAATGCTTCATTAGTTTGAATTAATATAACGGGTGAGCAATAAAGAATGCTAATTTTAGTATTTTGACTATAACTTTTTTTACTTTTCAATCTTTATAGCTGATTGTTTCTCCAAGAACTGCGCCGTGGAGTTCTGTGCAAAACCACAATCAAACTTGTCTTTGTAGAAAGTTAAGGAGAAAAAGTAAAAGATTATCGAACACATAAAAATTACCCAACTTTCACAGCTAATGGTAGTTGTATAAATGACCGATGTTTGTTTGTTTCTTTTTTATCATTGAGTACGTTTATTTTAGAAACAAAGTATTGTATAAAATGCAGCTCGAAATGATGTAGAAGATTAGAAAACTTATTTTACATATATGCTCTTTATTTTCAAGATGGACAAATTTGTGTGTGACCAATATTCGACGCTGCAAACAAGATCATTTATTAGTGGCACAGAATTTCGATTTTTTAAAAAACAAAAGGTGCATACTTGTCAAATAAATTATTCTTCTGTAAATTATAGAGCTTTTCATGCTGCAGCTTGTGATATATTTTGTTCTGTTTCAATAAAAAATATTAGATGATAAAAACATAAAGTAAGACAGAAAGAGAATTCGTAGTGTGACAAAGAATAATTCTGCTCGCAGCGTCGACTATTGGTCACACAAATTTGCTTATTTTGAAAATAAAGAGCACATATTTAAAATAAGTTTTCAAATGTGAATTTTACAGCATTTCACGCTGCATCTTATAGTATACTTTGATTCTAAAATAAACGTACTCAATGATAAAAAAGAAACAAACAAACTTCGGTCATTTATGGAACACCAGTTAGCTGTGAAAGTTGGGTACTTTTTATGTGTTCGATAATCTTTTAATTTTTCCCCTTAACTTTCTACAATAATAAGTTTGATTGCGGTTTTGTAGAGAATTTCACGGTGCAGCTTTTGAAAAAATTCAGCGCTAAAGATCAAAAATTAAAAAAGTTATAGTCAAAATAGTAAAAGTATCACCCTTTATTGCTGACCCGTTATGTATGTATATTTTAGCTGTTTAAGTGTTAATTAGTATTATCGCACGATTAATAAAACTCACATTTTTTTATCCGATCGGCATCTAAAAAACCGGAGACAGAATCAAACGTGTCCAAATTGAAATGTATCATCTTTCTTCAGGGAAAAATTCTGGGTAAGTGGTAGATGAAACACCCAATTTGATCTTTCTAGTAATTGTAGGAATCAACGTAATTATATCTCATCTCGTCGTTTACCAACAATCCGTAGTGGTTTTGTTCTTCTTTGGATTGAAGATATAAATGCTTCATTATCATTGTCGAATACTTCTATTGAAATTACTGAACGCAGTCGTACCTTGAAGAATTGTTTGATTGTTCGCTACGGAACTATATCGAAAGGTATTAAATATTTAAAAAAAGCTCGATCGTATGAACGTATTATTCTGATTTTGATTATGAAACGTATCGAATATGCAACGATTATTCGGCTTAAATCATATCAACAAATCCGGTCTATTCTGATTGTTTTGTTCGAACAAAATGACAATGAACCTATTCTAAGCGAAATGAATGGACGCATCCAAACATTTTTGACTCAAGAAATGATGTTTATTAGATTGGAAGCGTTACTCACGGAACCTCAACCATATGATGATGGTTTATTCATAGCAGTCAATCGAAAAGAAAAGTCACTACGAAATATTCAGCAAGAGCTTGGCTCGTTTGTCTGGAGTGAAGCTTTCAAAGGTTAATATATTGGATAAGATGTAAAGAATCTCTCTACCATAATTTTGATAGGTGTTTTTGAAAAGTTTCTTTTGACAAATCATATCTACGTTGGTTTCAATTTAAAAACGAAGAAAGTGATGCTTTTCAGTGCAATTTTTTTTGAACACTAAAGATCTGCATATTTTGACATAGAGCATGTCAAGAGAATTCTTTTACGATGACACCAATGTTGAGCATAAATAGAAATATCATTTTATTGTTTATATATTGTAGCCTTAGTTGATGCAATGCCTTACCAATCAGAAGAATCAAAACAACAGATGCTTTTTGAATGTCGCAGAAATTATCCTGGCTGCCGAAGTGAATTAAATCAAATAGAAGAGTTTGGACGGAACTATTGTTCAAATGACGCTATCAGATGGTATACAAAGGATTGTTTTCTATACAAAACAATTAATAGAGCCCTCCGCACAGAGGATATTCTGGTTTTGTATACATACCGCTTTTTTATCATTGATATGTGTAAACGTCTAGAAGAATTGAGAGCATCGATCGCTATTCGTTATCCTTCATCATTTCGTGTCTATCGTGGATCAAAATTAAGTAGAGAAGAAGTCGAAAATTTGCGTGTTGGGGCCTTAGTTGCAACAAACGGTTTCTTTTCGTGCTCAACTTCATTGGAAATTGCTCAAGGATTCTTAGGAATAGATCTAATCACAGGCATATCACCAAGCGAAGGTCGTCAAGATCAGCAACAGTATATCTTATTCGAAATCAATGTCAATCTATTGGAAACACCTGATCTCGTTATTGCTGATGTATCTGATGAAAGTGTTGCACCTCAAGAAAACGAAATTCTTTTCGGTTTGGGAACTACTTTTGCCGTTCAACAGATCAACTATGATGATGAGCATTGTGTCTGGCATATTGAACTGATTTTATCATCTGAAGTAAACCATATTAATGAACAATATAAAAAATACATTCATGATCGGCTTCAAGAGTGCGATGCAACGATGTTTTTTGGTAATTGCTTAGGTGACATTCTTGGTGATTATTCTGCAGCAATGCGCTTCTTTCATCGCCAATTGCGTATCAAACCAATTGATGACCCATACCGCCCCAATACTTTGTATCATTTAGCGCGAGTTTATCGTTGTATGGGTTTATATTCACAAGCGGTTAACTATTTTCGACGTGCGATGCTTTTGCAACGACGTAGATTACCGCAATCAGGCTATGCTTATGCTCAAACAATCTCTGGCCTTGCAATGCTTTATTCTGAAACTGGTCGCACAAAACAATCTATTGACTTACAGACAAAAGCTGTGCAAATTTTTCGTACTTATTTGTCGGAAGATCATGTGCAAATGGCCATTGTGTATAATCGTTTAGCTTACGTTTGCTACCAGGAAAAGCAATACGAACGAGCACAGTCTTTGCTTTCAGTTACCATGTCGGTTCTAAAAAACAAAGGACCCTTGAATTATACTGGTTATGCAACATCACTAGACTTGATGGGTACAGTAAAATGGGCTATCGGTATGAAACATGAGGCGGCAGAATATCTTACGGACGCATTGAAAATGCGCGAATCTTTCTTAACAGAAGAGCATCCTTTGGTTGCTCGTACATGTTATACGTTGGCGAAGTTATATGCAGAAATGCCACAAGGGCATTCGGCAGCAATGAGCTATGCTCTTAGAGCGCTTCGTATTCGTGAGGCTAAATTAACCAAAAATCATAGAGAGCTCATTTTGTCGCTGGATCTGGTTCACCAATTAACACAAAATTCATTTGAAGCTGATGCATAGCAAATGAAAAAAAATGTTTTAGCTAGTTTTCCTTAGTTAACTCATGATCCTTATCAAGATAAATAAATTTAGCAATGTATCAAAATGCTTGATAATTATTTCAAAAAAACTTACCGTCATGTTCAAGCGATATTTTTTATGAAATCTGTTTCAAAGAGGGTAGCTTCATGTCGTAGATATCAGTTTTTCGAATCGTATTTTCCTTCAAGAATTAGTGTTGAATGAGGGTGTGGGTGTGCGTGTGGGTGTGTGGGTGTGTGGGTGTGTGGGTGTGTGGGTGTGGGTGTCGGCGTAGGTTAATACTTTATTCACAATCACAG